TTTCAAGCCCTCTACTACACCCTCCATACTACCTCTTTCATTATTATCAATCCATTCCAACTCCAATCTATCAATCCGATGCTTATCGAAGAGGTTAGCCTCCTTGGCCTCCTCAAAGTCAGCCACCTTCTCTAGCCCCCTAATACGAATACATCCTTGGAGATTACCTAATTCTTTTAGCTCTCCTATTGTACTTTTGTTGCCATTGCTCTTTTGCATGATCACCTCAAACCTACGCAATGTCCTCAAATAATGTAATCTCCCAGTTCCTCTTATTGGACTGAAAACATCCCACTTGCGATCTTCCATCACTATGTATTGGAGGTTGATTAGGTTTCCCATGTTTTCAGGAAATCCAATGAGACGACGACAATTTTCAATCACCAAAGTTTGCAAATTGTAGAGGTTGCACAATGACTCGGGTAACACTCTAATGCCTATCCTGTTGAGGTTAAGCAACCGTAGATGTTTCAAGTTGCCAATTGAACTTGGCAAATTGACCAATTCATAATTTTCACTCAAATCCAGTACACGTAGGCATCGGTATTGTTCAAATAAGTCACCTAGGATATGCCAATCCCTTGTTGACGGCAAAATCAACAACAAAGTTGACAATTCCTTGAATTTACATAATTCTTTCTCCATTGGGTACTGATCTTGTTGGACGTGAAACATTGATACGTAATGAACCATTTTACGATTACCACTGTTGTTATGTGATTTGCCCTTCTCCATCCTAAAATACATGCCTGCCGAAACCGACTCTGCTAAGTCATGCATCAGATCATGTATCATAAATGATTTTCGAAATTTAGAATGCTTTTGAAAAAAGGACCGATTGAACAATTCATCAAAGTATTCGCCTCCAAGGTCTTCTTCCATAATGTCAATTCTTTTAGATGAAACAAAACCTTCTGCTATCCAAAGCTGGACTAGAGTTTCCTTATCAAATTCATGGTCTTTAGGAAACAAAGAGCAATATGCAAAGCATAATTTTAAATGTGCTGGCAAGTAATAATAACTCAAACGTAGAGCTGACATTGTTGTCTCCTCTGCTTCAACCTCCCACATCTTACTTTCTAAGACGGATTTCCACCTTTTCACATCCAGATCATCGTATAGAAGTCCTCCTAGTGATTTCACTGCTAGAGGCATTCCTCTGCATTTTTTAACAATTTCCTGTCCAATTTCTTTCAAGCTTGGATGTTTATCACAGATTTTGTCATCAATAAAAGCCTTCCTTTTGAATAATTCCCAGCAATGTTCATATGGCAAGGTTTCCAAATCAATTTTTTTTATGGAGCTCATAATCGAGGAAACTCTATGAATCCGAGTGGTCACTATTATTCTGCTTCCTTTTTCTGCTGCAACATTAATTGGGACCCTTACCGCATCCCACGTTCTGCGGTCATCGCTCCATATATCATCAAGAACAAGTAGAAATTTCTTTCCCTGTAACCAATTCTTGAGTTCTTGTTGAAGTGGTTCCAGTCGTTCCAATGGTGGTTGTCCATTGGATATTGACTCAAGAATTGATCTAGTTATTTTTGTGACATCAGAATCTTGGGAAACACATACCCATGCTCTCACATCAAAATGCTTAACTACGTTTGCATCATTGTAAATGAGTTGAGTCAGAGTGGTCTTGCCAATCCCCCCAGTACCAACTATTGAAGCAACAGGAACTTTTTCCCCATTGTATTTATCAGATAATAATATGTCTATTATAGCATTTGCATCTTCCCTCCTACCAAAAATTCTATCATCAACTAAGGAAACAGTCTGAGGGCGTGAATCTAGTGATGAAACTATGTTGAGTTTCTTTCCCATTTCACTGAGATTCCTTCCAACGGATGAGACTGAACTCGCATAGTCGTGGTTCATCTTTTGCTGAATCTCATGCATCTCATTTATGATGCCAGTTATAACAGAAGGAATCTCATGGCAATATAAAATTTCTTTCTCATTGAGAGAATAGGAGAAGTATTCGCGGGGTACCTTCTTGATAGCAGCCCTCGAAATGCAGATCTGTTTACTTTCATCATCCTCCTCCTCCTCAAGAATTTTCCGTTGAACAGCTTCGTAGATGAACTCGTCCAATATACAAGTGGCTTTGTGAACAACTTGTCTCATGTCTTTGAGTAGGAATTTCAAGCGCGGATCACTGATTTGCATATCCTCTGTAGAACTGGTCATTGCATATGCGTCTTGGAGTGTTCTAGAGAGGTTATTCAGCTGTCGGTCAACACCCCAATCAGATCCGAATTTGATCATCCAAGAGGAGTTCAGTTTGTTGAGCAACGCCTGAAGCAAAGGGGATACCACCACATCTTCTGTTGTTGCCATATCTTGGTTGCCTTGAAATTTGGTGGATGAACAAAATGGAGATTACCGGCTGCTGGTTCCCTTTGTTTAACAATTAAAGAATCCCCGATCGTGGAATTGTCAAAGCAAGATCAAAATTATTACTTATTAGTTTTGCAATATAATTACTGTCTGAAAAGTAAAAGTTAAGAAGTAACATTAGTCCAAAATCAAGCCTAAGGCTAAAAGCAAAATATAAAAAGTTAAATTTGCTTTAAAATTTGCTTTTTAAAAATAAAAACAATAAAAAAAACCTAAACGTATTGGGAGTTAGAATAATTTACGTTATCCGACCTCAACTTATAAATTATTGGTTGTTAATTGTAATGTTTACTAAAGATCCATTGTGTGCGTAGACCCCAAAACCTTGACTTTGGGGTAATAGACCAAGCTTGACTTTCTTAATAATTTAAGTGAACCTGATAATGCTGCAATCTTATCCCTTGTGGCACCAGACCAGATGAATTTCAGATTGCTCATTAAATATTACCTGGATCCATGTTGGATCCTTGTTCTATATTACATTTTTGACATAAATTGAATCCTTAATTTTAGAACATTTTTCTCTGTCTTTATTGGATCAAGCTCAATTATGTGAAACTAATCGATACGTTTGTTGACTTAAAATATAGAGGAGCAAAGAAGAAACAGAAAGCCAAATTATGATTAGCTGTAGTTGCACTATCAAACCAACCTCCATTATTACTATAAAATAAATTATAAATTGGTCACTTGTGTTACTCAACAAAAAAAATAGTAAATAATGTGAACCCCATAAGGCTATTTCGTTTATTGGTTTAAAATATAGAGCAAAGAAGAAAAATAAAACCCAATTATCATTAGTTGTTGAGTTATCAAATCATCATCCATTATTATTACTGATGTAGCGCAATCCGGTCATTCCTAGTTGGTACTTATATAGCTCCTAGAAGATACCTGAGATGGAGAAGAAGAAGAATCCCCGGGGGGTTTGTCCGGCGGGAATACTCCAATGCTTAAGTTAGTACTTTGTAGGAGAAGCAAGGAGAAGGTGAAAGCTAAGAGTGCAGATAGCGCGAGTGTAGATGATGATGATGATGATGATACCTGTCCTCCTTGATATTAAGCTCCTTATAGCAGAAATTCATTGCCTCTACCCCCTTGGCCTCTGACAGGGCGGGTATAACCGCCACTGTCAACCTGCTACAGCCATTACTGGCAGGGCTGAGGTGGCACGTGCGGGGCCATCCCCGTAGGGTACGTGCCTGTCAGATGTAAGGCACCCTCTAAAGGTGGCAGGCACGACGCTGCCTGACGAGGGACATGGTTGTTGTCCCCAGGTTTGTCGGGTACAGTGGTCAGACAGGAGATCTTCCTGCGATATGTTGAACTACCCTTCCGTGAGTTACCCTGCACCGGGCTATCTCGTAAGCGACGAGCTGCTTGTGGCAAGCTAAGCCGAGCTGTCTGGCCCGAGGTGTCTTCACCTCAGGTGTCTACAGGCGGATCGGTGCGTTCCTATCTGGGAATGACCCGAGGTCCACTGGGAGGAACTCGGGTATTAGGAAAGGTCAGGGGGGCCCCGAGCTCGGGGGCAGCTCGGGGTGCCTTAACCCTGGGGAGGGGCTGTAGGCCAGGCGGCTCATTCACGAGCTAAAGTTTCCTCGGGGTATTCCTTCAAAGTTAGCTTGGGGAACCCGGAGCTCGCGTTGTGGCGACCTTCCCCTATTGCGGGCTACGATGTAGCGAACTGCTTTATGGGTCCGTCACAAGGCTGTAACGCCGAGCTGTTGATCGCGCTGAGTCAGTGTCCACGCGTCATTGTTTCATAGGTCGGGTCAAATTGTCCTCCATCAATTGCCCCCCACTCCTTGTGTTGAGAGCATTACTTTAGCGCGAGGAGTTCATGAAGCGTGATGGACTGATTTGACCGAAATTCAAACTTGATTGACTACTTGCATTAAACGCATCCGCGAGAATCAAGAGATTTCCTAACTTTTCTGACCTTTCGGATTCCCAAAAACGTGCAGATGTGGCTTTTAATTTCGAGCGTTGTGCAGCCATCATTGCCTTGATCGTGGAGGATGTGCCGCCAATCACCTTTGGTTTTCAGGAGGTGTGTAGTGTTAGACAGTTTTGTATGCCCTTAACTTCAATCAGAATGATGTACTTTATGTGTCTATTGTAAATGAATAAAAGTGCATATTTGATTCATGTTCCCTTGGTATGTTTCTATGCAGTACCCTTAAACTGGACACTTAATGAGACTCGTGTTAGTTTAGAATGTTCACAACCAATGGGTCGGTCTAGGGAGACCTATCCTGACAAGGCTGACACTGTGGTGCTACCAAGTCGATTGGGGTGGCTTGTCTCAGCTGCCAGGGTGAGACCCTAGGCACATACAGTGTATGATTAATTGAATCTTTGAACTGGACCAGATTTCCAGTATTGCCCTGGACCTTGGAGATTGATGGGCAAAACTGGAAAGTTACACCCGAACCCTAGACTCGATTATGA